TGATAATTGAGAACCATTAACATTGCCTTCGTATATTCATCGCCACTATTAAGTTAATAAAATAGATAGTAAGCCACATTGATCCCTAGACCACCCTCACTGACACTACAAGATGATGTCGACTTGTTACTGTTCCCCAGATAGACGATCCCACTAGCTCTGCTACTACTCGTGTTTGTAGAAATTCTAACAGAAATTCCATAAAAGACACTTATGTATGAGCAGTTGTCACTGTGAATGCTAACAATATGCTGAGCTAACTAGGTACACTGCGATTGACTAATAAAGACGTGGTGAATCCGGAGATGGAACCTCACAGCACATTGTGCTGGGCTTAGCCAGACTATTCGTCCCTTATCTACGCATGACTGGTCTATGGGACTGATAAGTTGGACTTGGAGTCGAAGGTAAGAGTCCTGTTTCTAGGCTATAACGCTTACAGCGTGTTCATTTGAATATGATCCCGTTCTTGGCTATAACATTCGTAGCCTGTTGAGCTGACCACTCTCCTGTTACTGTCTAGAATGCCAGCATCGTACGTACCACTTTTTTGGTATCTCCAGATACTGGTAAAACTTCATTAAATTGATTAATTTTATCGCCCATTTGTATATATTATCACTAGAGAATATTCGTTAGTATTTGGTCCATAGAATTAACTGTTTTACTAACTATTGCTGAGATTCTTATTGAGACCTTCGTGGATAGAAAATAAGTTTAATTCATAGAGAAAACTTTCATTTTGGCATTAAATGTCAGAACACGTCGCTAATTTTGTTAGAAAAACGTGGAAAAATCGTGAACGGCAGCTTGTGAGCTAGACATTAGTGTCTGGGACTTTTCAAATCGGTGTGAAAGTGGCTTAGAGGCCAAAAGTCAAAGTGTACCCAAGTGGCTTCTTATCTACTTAAAACTGTTGGTTAAAACTATACTCATTAAAAAAACAACAAACACTAGTAAAGGTCTACATCTAACAACAGCTCGTTGCTAGTTTTCTTCTGTAAGGCTTTTAATTTTTGAAAAATATTTATTTTTGAAATAGAGCTCCTGAGCCCTACTGACCTACCCTTCTAATAAACTATTAGCTTTTATATTTCTCTGGTTGACATCCTGTCACTATAAAAATTTAGATTTTGATTTGAGATCAACTATTTTCTGCTAAGTTCTAGAATGAAATACCATTTTCGCCTTTAAAAAAGAAATAAGTTTAAAAAATCACTACGCTATAAATATCACTATAAAATATACAATTACATACAGTTTTTAAACAATAAAATACTTTTTGGGATAAGAGGCGAGTTTAGGCGACTAAAAGAAAACTATTTAACCCCAGTGTGTATAAAAAGCTGGAAAATGTTTAGCCATACTTGAAATTCCACTGTTTATGTTTGATTTGAGGCAAATATGGCACCCCTTAGATTGTTCTTATGCAGTGGTGCTTCTTCACGGTCAGATGGTAAGTGTGTGCACAGTACAAGAAAATAGTAAAGAACCGCTAAGCTCATAAGCGCATTCTATCTTCACACGTCACGTTTCATTGTTGCTTGAGCTCAACGTTGTCCTGTTTTGATAAAAAAATACACGAGCAATCTAGAATATAATCTATTCAGAGCAAAGAAAAAACACGCCTAAATAATTATACAGTGAACAAATTCTGGTAATTTCAAACAGACATAAACTTTCCTTGGTGTACGACTATCCTAATGCTCTCCCTACCTATTTCCTACAATCCTTTGGTTATCGGAAAGATGATTACCAATATCCATGCATTAAGTAAGAATGTATCATATTTGCGGAAAAACAAAGTATTGTCTTTATTTGGCAGCATCTACTGTTCATTGAATGATGTTTAAGTTTACTTGAAATTTTGATTAATAATTATACTCTTAAAAAAGTTATATTGACTCATAGTTAGTACGATCCGTGTAACTAGGGCCCTCTATGAGAATCAGATATAAAAACACATTCATGAGATGTATCAGCTTCCAAAACATATTCGTATAAAATTTCATTACAATGTTGCCAGTAGTTTCGGCAAAATCGTAAAAAATGCGTAAATTTTTTTTTCTTCAACGCCCTGTATCTTGAAAACGGATAGCGTTACAAAAATTTTTTACAAGCAAACCCCAATTATTTTTAGTTTTTTACCTACTCTAGAGACGGGTTTCAGTTTTTTTTTGAAACACCCTGATAAACAGTGAAATTTCAAGCTAGCATGATCATTTAATCCGCTGCCTACATTTAAATATGTGTTCTTCAAAGAAAACTATTAAAACACCTACTTTAACTACCTTTTAACATTAATTGGTTCCAAAACAGCCTTAGTAATGATTTCGGTCTCCCTATTCCTTCCGAAGTTGTCCTAAACTCGCAAATGTTTACGTTAAAATCGTAATTTTTGTTACCTGACTTTACATATTTGAAAAATTATGTTATAATATGATACCTAGTTCTATTGGTTAATTTGTTATTAAGTGGGTAGTTTTTTTTTTTCGGTAAAGTTTGTATTAAAAGTGGAGTTAAGCACAAAATATATAAAAAGGTAAAAAAGATATACAAAAATTTTGGACTAATTTGATTAACAGTTTAGCTAAGAAATTTCACAGCAAATTTAGACTCTGAAAATAGTCCTTATTCTTTTGCCGCAAACAAGGAATAGTATGGTAAAATTGGTCCAAAAAGGCCCAACACTGACATCGAAAGTAAAATTTTTCCTCCAACATCAAATTGTTCTATATGGTGCATATATTGTCAAGTAAAAGTTACACCATTTTGAGAGTCGAGTTTCGGAGAGAGAGGAGAAAATCGGCAAATTAGAAGTTTTTTCGTAAATATTTCTAAAACTATATGGTTTAACATAAACAATGTTCTATACAAAAATGTTCTAATAAATTAATTACTATATTATATAACTAAAAATTAATAAGGAAATTAGTTTTGAAAATTTTAAAAGTAAACTCGAAAAAAAAATGATAAAATTTACAAACCGTAAAAAAAACTAAATAAGTACGAAGTATTGAACCATTAAAACACTTCAACTATCTTCCTTATCAACAGGAGTTATAGAATATGAAAAAGTGAACTATGATAAAGCGTTTGGAGTCGAAACCCTGGCTTTGAAAGACATTGAAAACAAAACAGTCAATGAGATACACTCCAAAAGAAAGTTAGCTGTTAAGTCCCTAGCCTCTATAACCAGGTCGATGGCAATTAATACCACCACGGTATGTGTAAACCCAATCACTCTCTTAAATCGGATGGTGTGCAAAATAAATAGTGACGAGAGACTTGAAGAAATATTTCAATATAAACTAGGTCTAGATTTTTTTTCGTCGAATATGGCTTGATGAGAAAAGGAAGCAACTCTTCAATGGTTACTGTTTTGGTTCCAGACACAAAAGAATCATCATGTATTCTAGATTCAGGGAAAATGTCATGCATCATTGATAGAGATCACCTCCTGTGCATAGTGTTGTCTGTTGACGCCCAGCTACCTTCAGATATCTTCAGAGACTACGTAATTACTCATTACGGAACAACGAAGCAACAACAAAAGATAAAAAGCACCTACTTCTAGCACTGAAGTCAAAGTTGAAGACTCAATCCATGTAAATATGAACCAAAGTGATTTTTTAGCTAACGCTAACAAAATGGGCCTTATTTCACTGCTTACAGTACATTTACAAAGAAGTGGTTGCGCAGTTCATCAAGCATCGGGTGACGCTGACTTATTAATAGTTTTAACAGCTATTGATGAAGCTAAGAAAGAGGTTGAATCTTGTGTTGATGGCACATTAACACATCGTCAATAGGTGATGACAAGAACCTACTAGTTTTGTTGACTGTCCACGCACCATCAGAGAAAAATTGAAATGGTGGTACCAAATAAAGGAAACCAGCAGAAAAAGTCTACACTATTGCTGACATTCAGCGAGGCATTCGGAATATGAAGGCACTTATTGCAATATACGCCTTTTCAGCATGTGACACGGTATCAGCTATCTACAAGATGCGGAAAATTACACCGGAAAGTGCAAACCAACGACGCTCTTCGTAAAAAACTTCTAGTCTTCAACGACCCCAGCACAGTACCTGACGCTGGAAAGTATTTCCTTCTTGCTATATTTGGTGCCAGGAACACGGAAGTACCAGTCTTACTTGAAGGTTATTGCAAAGCAGCCTATGTATTCTTTGCTTAAGTTAGCTGTACTACCCCTTACTTCAGGAGGTTCCAGCCAGCATTCGTTCAGTACCAACCACCAGGTACAGCAGTGCCTAAATGAGAAGAAGAATCCGCTCGCGTAAGGTTGGAAGAAGACTAACGAACACCTGACACCAATTACAACAGTACGTGCTGCAGCTCCCTAGAAATTACTTTCCCTCATAGTGTGTACTTGCAAAGACGAACTGTGAGTCTAGAAAGAGTGGTCTAAAGTGCTCAAGCATAAGCAGCAATTGCTCAGGCCTAGGATGTGATAATAAGAACACAACCATCATAGAAAAAGATGTAGAAGAGGAGGATGTTGTATGTGAAGAAGACTGAAACTGATGAATAAGTTTACTTGAAACCCATTGCATGATAATAATCATTATTATGCAAAAAATATTTTGAGTATTTAAAATTAATTTGTTGGAATTTACTGTTGGAAAGATATTCATGCGACATTCTCCTTAGAAAGTTCAGAGTAGGTTTCTCCGTAGCACAGATTTATATGGTCTAGGTCTGTGGAAGCCTTTTTTTTTCATTAAAAAGTAGCGCTCTTGAGAAGGGGGTGAAGTTGACGTTCCTTCAAGGGTGTATCACTAACATACGACCAGCCACTAAAATAGCAAATTACATTTAAAAAACATTAGTTTCCTCAGTAATAATATTATAATTTGTCCAAAAAATATAAAAACATATGGAAAACCTCCATTTTTACACCGTCTGTAACTCCGGAACCGTTGATTTTAGAACAATTATGCATACGACCTTTCTTGTTTTAAATTAGACGTAGAACTAAATATTTGCGAAAAACGTAAAAAATCACCAATTTACCGACTTTTCTCCCCACTTCCCCCCAAACCCGACGCTCGAAATAGAGTAACTTTTTGCTTACCTATATGTGGACGTGGACCATATAGAACAATTTGGAGTTGGAGAATAACTTTTACTTTGGATGTCAGGGTTTGGGTCTAATTATAGCATTATTAAGGTTGGTCGCCAAAATATTGCTTTAGTGTAAGTAAATGTACTTTTAATCGTGACACAAAAACTTTTTCTTAACTTTGTACATCAGCGATTACTTTGACAGCAGAAAACTATTTTTTTCTGGAGGACATACAAATAACAATGGTGAACGCGATGATATACTACACACTGTGTGAATGTCACTTCTGAGGAACATAAAAATGGCAATGGTGAACGAGATGTTATTAATATTACGCACTGTCTGAGGATAACTTCTGGCAAACCTAAAAATGATGATGGTGAATGTGAGGTCTTTAACACTATACAATTTCTGAATGATATTTCTGAAGAACTTACCAATGATAATTATGAAAGCTAAAGCATTTGAAGCTAATAAAATAGTTGCTGTTGGTGATTTACACTAATTTTAGATTCAATTTTTATGTTTAAGTATGTTAGTAATTTCGGAAACTGTGATAGTACTGTATTATGAGGTTTATTTTAATTACAAAAATAATTTTTAACATTTACTTACACTAATTATATCATACTATCACATTACTTTCATGATAAGGAGAATCTTTTGCTAGTAAGTAACAGGTAGAGAGTTCAAAGAGAGTAACAGGTAGGAAATGTTTTTGCATTTTTGGAAACGGAAAAGCCCATGGGCAGTTGTAAATACGAAAAATAGGTGCAGTCAGCAGATTAACGTGTCAAAGAGTAAAGGGCGTATGTAACGTAAAGATTTTTTGAAGGCATACTAAAGACGCAACAAAAACAATGAAAAAATATCAATGAACTCTAGGAGAAGTCCTCAAGAAGATCGGCATCAAAACACCGTGAAAATATATATAATGTTTATCCCTTTATAGTTTGTGCTTAACTAAACACTTTCTAACAACCCCATCTTATGTGACTTTATTGCCTATACCTCTGGATTACTTAACTTTCTCTCTAAGGTACTAGTAGATTCAATCCCGCTATCCTCGTCCCCGCTATCTAACAAACTCGCCTCGCCACGTACAAACTCGACTTTTGTTTTACACTTGTCATCCTCGTTTTTTATCAAGTTTCTTTCTACAAAGTCAAATTTACCGAACGACAAATCTTCGGGTAAGTGTTGTAAGTCGTCCAGTACTAGATTGACTTTTTCTACTACTGGGCTGTTTGGTTTGTAGGGTAAGGCTTCAAACGAAACGTTTTTGCCTTTAACTTCGTCAGGAGTATCTACGTGTTGAACCATAAACCTACTTTTACCAAATGTAGTAAAACTAGGCTTTTCTCTAACAACTGGTTCTACGGTAGGTTCAACGGTAAATAATTTATCAGAAGTGAAAGCACTAGGGCTAGGAGGTAAGTCCAATTTTAATAACTTCCTGGTATGCCTAAGACCTCCGAGAACATCACCACCACTAATCTTTGAAGTCTTCTTTCTATTGATTACGTCGGAAGCTAGTTGTTTTAAAGTTGGCACTACTGTTGAGGTCTCAAATTCATTGGCATCTGAAATGCTTCCTGGTGTGATATCTTCCATGCCGCTATCCGGCGTAACGTTATCGAAGTTCCATGAACTACTTCCGGGGAAAAACTGTGAGCTGAGATTATGAGTGTCGAAAGGTTGAGTAGAACTTGTGATGAAGAAGTCTTCTGACATGTTAGAGTTCGTCGGACTGTCTGTAAATAACAAAATGTAACTTTATTATGGTTTTTATATCCATAAACAGGTTTAAAGACTAAACATTATAAAGTAGAGAACTTTAAAATTATATTGTCAATATACTTGAGTTGCGTTCCTGGAACGACTTTGTTAGGGAATATTTCATTTGATTACATGGAATTCAATTTAACTTGAGAATATACCTTAGAACAAATAATAGCATGAGATTTGTCTTAAAAAACGCAACAATGACCAAACGTGACAGTAAAATCTCGAGAAAGCTCGAAACAGAAGTGGAAGATCGAGTGAATAGAGCAAACAGACTCGTGGGCTGCCTGAATGAAACAATATGAAGAAATAAAAATATCGAGAAAGAAATAAAGGCAGACTTTACAAAACAGCCATCAGACTAATAATGAAAAGCGGCAGAAACATGACCTGACACAAAGAGGACAAAAAGGATGTTATAAACAGCAGAGATGAAAACACTAAAAAAATTGATGGTAAAAACTATGGGACAGAGCTAAAAGTACAGATATACGACAAAGACACAAAGTGGAGAACATCAACGACTGATATAATGATATATAATAATAATATAAGCAGAACAAAAACCAATAAAGTAGTAAAGACGGCAAGAGACGGTTCCCCAATGGGAAGACGATCAGTAGGAAGACCACGAAAACGATGGAACGACAACTTACTGGAGGCACATTGAAAAACAGACAGAATCATGTCTACATAAAAAGAAGAATCAGAAGAACTTTTACATGTAAACTAGATTCTAGTTGGCTACCAGTCACTTAGATGTTGTAAATCGAAAAACGATAAAACGGATTTCACAGCGCTCAGTAAAAGATGTTGTGAGGAAAAAAGTTGGAGTACATTTGAAGTAAGACTGAAGTAAGACCTGAATTGAAAAAGGGCTATATAGCAGGAGCGTATCCAGAAGCTAAAAACTTAATTACTACGTACATACAAAAGATATTTTAGGTCTCAGCGTGGAAAGTCTACGGAGCCAAACGAATCCTTTGACACGAATAATAGACAATAATATCCAAACAAATGAGGTATACTGTGTTTTTGAAACACAAACTTTTTTTAGAACATGCTTATTTCTGTTACCATATAATACATGATAATTTCATATGACTAATCTGGTATAAAATTTATACGTAGACGAAATGTCCATCCTCGTAACTGGTTCTATAGAAAAAACTTTATATGTGAAAACAATTCTCAAGTAATTGGGTCTCTGATTAAAGTAGATGTTTTTTAGTGTCACTTTAAACTTAAAACTCTTTACCATGTAACCAAATCAAATGACGAATTGAAAAGTCTTATGCTAACGCTATTTGATCAAAATTAAATACCGAATAAAAAATTTTAGGACATACCTGTAAAAACTTTAAATTCTGGTTGTTTCCATACATCCGGATTTGACAATATTGGACTTTCTGGTTCCTTCGGATATTCGTATATGCAATGATACTTCTGCTTTTTGAACCAGACACCTTTGGGTTTTTGCTAAAAACATTTTAAAATCATATATTATAGATATATTTATTTATAGATAAGTATTAAAAATGATAATTTTACAGAGGTTTTTGGCATACTAGTAAAGCAGGTTTATGTAAATAATCATTATGTTAAAAACAAACGTTAAGCCATTGGCAACGAATTTGTGAAAGTATAGAAAAATAAAATCTCTCTCTCCTGCTGCCACTATCAAAGTAAGTCTAATAAAACTGTAGGATGATTTCGTTGATAAACACACTATCGATGTGGCATCCTTTGTAAGTCCCAAAAAGTTTCAAATGTCGCTATGTGCTAATGTTAAATTTCACAATGTCCTCACTGCTCCTGCGTTGAAAAGTTTTCTTAAAATCATTCTGTCCAAGTCCAAATGTCCAATATAACTATTTTAATGATCAATTATATTTTTACAACTTTCTTGATTATCTAAATTAAGTAAACGAGAAAGTGTGTGAAGTTTTCTAGTAGAATAACCATGTAACAAAGTAATTGAAAGACCTGTTCATTAAACTTTTCGCGTTAAGTCTGGAAAGACTTTTGAGTATTCTAATAAAAGAAAAACAAAAAATTACCTCTTCTCTTTTCTTAGGCGTTTTCTCTGGTGACCTCAATGCTGACTTGCTAGGCATTGCAAATTTGTCCCAAGCTGAAGGTACAAATTCGGGAGACTCCTCATCATCGCTGAAGGTACTACTTAAGTCGCTCTCTTCAAAATTGTCTTCGGCGATCCCTTCCATTGGTGTGATAGACTCCAGCTAGAACACATTTTGTTTATATTAAAACGATTTTGCAAGCTATAATATGCAGAATAATTACAATACTTTTCTATAAAATAAGGAAAGAATAATTATACATAGTTGGAGGTCTATTCTTTATAGACTCTCGACTATGTCAAAAAAATATGGATGAAAGGAACTAAGGCATTTAAGGAATTTTATTGTTTCATATGGTCAATGAAACAAAGGCATTTATACCTAACGTTATAGAACGTTACATTTATTATCGGGCAGTTTAAGTAGTGGATTATCATTTAAACACTTAAGGCAGTTAAAGCAATACATAAAAACTCTAAAACAAATATTAATACGATTACACTTACCACATCTTGAGGAGCAGCCCTGAGGGCCTTGAGAGACTCCTCATGTTCCCCTTCCTATTTGATTAGAAACACAACAGATATTTAGCTACATACAAATATACATTCTTTGCAAAGGTAGTACTACTTTAATTGCAGCAAATTATTTAATATACAATTTATATTCACCACCAAAACAGGCGTTTTTTCGAACTTTTTATAAAATAGTGTATAAAGCCCTTAAAAGTATAAATAAAATGAATTTCGTTTTAATTAAAAAAAAAATGTGTATTGGAAAGACAGAAAAGTGTCTCCCAAATTAAAATGCATCTTTTGGAAGACACCCTCTGCTATGGGAAAAAATAACTAAAAGTTCCAATTTTTTGTATATCTCAAAAGCTTCTTAACAATGAAAAGAAAAAATGGTTTTTCATTAAAAATTTCGTTAAAAAAATAATTAATTTTTTTTTTATTTCGAACACTTCCGTTAACACTTTAACGAGGCATTGTAGTACCACCTTTACTTAGCATTAGTGGAAGCATAAAAATGTAAGAAAGAAACAAGTACATCGACTAAAATGGGTAGATAATTGGAACAATTTATTAAATAGTTTATATAGATTTTTTATTACACCACTCATTTGACAATGTAGTATTTATTATTTTGAAAATATTATTTTTCTTATTCAATTTACTTCATTATCTCATTCGGAGGTAGGTAATCGAGCACTCTCATCGTACAGTAGCAAATGATATCTCATTTTAAGTTTTCCTCATCCTTCTCCGTACACTCGAAGAGAAGGCGCTCAGCCTCAGAGGACTTATCCGGTTTACAGATAAGTCTAAGATGGACGACAATAATTTTGATAACATTTCAGTAAAATCCCCCATTGTTACTGTGTCACAGTCATTGCTACATTCACGTAAATCTGCAAGGTTATTCGGTATTTTTCTTCCTTTAAACTATTAGTGCTGTGGTCTATGTTATTTCTTGTTTCTTTCTTAGAAGTATTAATTTAACTTATAAAATTATGAAACACTTACCCGCCATATAAACTCTCCACTAGAACTTGATCTGGAATCAGATCCGCTCTCCCATCCCTGCTCATCGTTATTTTCGCTAAAGGAAGTGGACATCATCTGGCTATCTGCAGGTCCTGTAAACCTAATATCAGTTAAAAGGCCGTAAATGCTATCGTCGTCATCCTTTTCGATATGTTCGAATGTGTTGATATATGTGTGATCCTTATCTAGAAGGTCGGATTCCAGGCGATTTTTGTTATTCTCCATATTAACTATATTGACGTAATCGTCGAATGGGTCCAAGTTTGGTTCCAGGTTTTGGTACAGTCGTTCGGTATCTTTTACATTCGAATTTTCGTACAGATGATCGTCTAATTTGGTAGCTTTTTCGTTTTCGGAGTTAGGCAAAACCGTATCTTTAACTTCAGAATTCTGATAAAGCGGCTCGATGTTCTCTTTGTCCGAAGTCTCCTGATCAGATGTAGGTACGTCTTTTTCCTTACTGCAGCACACATCTTCATCTTGTGTATTTGATTCCACTGTAACAGCTAAATCCAAAATCTGAGGATGAGTTTGGTTGAAGGTAAGATTATTATTTTCACTTTCTTCGTCTTGTTCTATGGAGTCTGTTCTTAAAATATCAGCGTCGTCATCGTCAATTTCTGTTTTCGGTAAAATATCACAGTTATTTGAATCTTCTGATTTTGTGTCTTCTTTAATTAAAGGAGTGTTGCTCAGCGATAGTTGGTTGTGGTTTAGAAGTGAAGCTGGAAGGTGTTTCCAGGGATTTTCTTCTGGAGATGGCAAAGGAACAACCTATCAACGAAAGAAATATATAGGCATTTCATTTTGACATAAAAAACAATGAAACAGAAAGGCAATCACTATCTATTCAATACAAACTAAAAGATTGCTCAGACATTACACAAGAGGTTTGTAAGAGTTTTTTTTTTTCACCACATTAGGCTTTAAGCAAAATAATGACAGATTTGTGCATTAAATCTGTCTAGATCTGCCTATGCACTAGGCAACTCCACCTAGTGAGATAAGAGAGGAAGACAGCTATCGAAAAATAAAGAGTTTAAAGGGAAAGTATCATATCATTTATACAGGCGAATCGTTAAGGAACAACATATATCGTTCGCACAGTTTACTCCCCAATGCCACAAAAAAGAAAATCTTGATCTATCTTGTGATATTTGCAAGGAATGGTAAGTTCATAACGAATTAGTTATTGAAGCAAAAAAACGCATAGAAAAGATTTTTTGTTGAGGAAAGATCAAATAATGTAATAGATTTTTCAAGTGACATTCAGAAAGTTATCATGTTGCCAAGAGTGGAAATATTCAAAAAGGTATTATTTGTAAAGCGTTTGGTAGCCTATTATGAAACTTTTGCACATGTAGGGAGAAAAGTGAAGAAAAAGTTCACTCCATGTTGTGGTATGAAGGAATTTTAGGCCCCAATAAAGAAAATAATGTTAGTGCGTTGTACATGTTTTTAAAACAACATAGAGATGTTAAAAAAGTTGTTTTTTGGTTATACAACTGCTCTTCCCAAAACAAAAACTGGTGTCTTTACACATTTTTAGAGTATATAATAAACTTTGATGACATTGCACCTAATGAAATAGTTTTAGACCATTTCCAACCTGATCATTCATTCATGAGTGCAGACAGTTTTCACTATCAAGTAGAGCAATCATTAAAGTCTCAAAAGAAAACTTATGATTTTGAAGACTTGTTGATGCAGTGAAAAAATCTAAATCTGAAAATGTCAATGTATACAAAATGCAACCAATGCAATTTTGATTTCTACCACTGGTCCAATTTCGTGTCCCAACAAAAGTTAAAATACTGCCGGAAAATCGAAAACAATTTTTGAAAGACTTGCGCCTATTTATACATCTCAGCCAAAAAACTGAACCTATTATGGCATTCCAGGTACTTATATGAAAATATTGGTTATATTTTTTAGAAAATATGTTGAGTTAATCCATTCCTACAAATGTATATTGCTTATTAATCTCAATCAAATGTTATGCTATATGTACGATAGTATGCCATAGGAAGAGTGCTGTATGTACGACATCATTTTGTATTTTCAACTTTTTTGCATTAAACAACTGAAATATCATATTGAAAATTACAGCATCCTTCTAAACTACAAGTGGAGCTTTCTCAAAATCTGACTACTGTTACTTACTGCACTTTTTCTTAGCTGGGCAGTGTAGTACTAGTTTTCAAAATAGTGATATCATAATCGAGGTTGATTAGCATTCAGTGTCCAGAATTGAAGAGTTTTTTTCACTGAAGGAATGCGATTTTTCAAAGTTAAAATAGATGACAAAAGCAAGGAACCCTTAACTGTTTCAACAAATAGGGTCTGTTTAGGTATACCCCTGTACCTCCAAAAATTTTAAAAAATGATGGACTTTCTTTCATTTTCTCTCTCAGCTGTTGATGTTTTTCAAGATTTATTCATAGGTTTAAATAACAAGTTACATTTTAAAAATCTTAAAATTGAGTTTTATCTATTTTAAAAGATACTGAATTTAAACTATATTATAACGTTGTTCTGAAGCTATTTTCTTGTGGCATTGTAAATTAATTACTATTAAACTGGGAATAAGCCACAATTAAAGATAAAAATACGTTTATTGACGTTTCAATTTCCAATTCGGAAATCGTTCTCAAAATACAAACAGTAAATTAAACAAATTTTGTTTTTTGTTACATAGTGAAAAAATTCTTCTAATAATTTAATTTTATCTGACTCATTTATATTGACAATTCAGACATACATTATGCATTTTAAAGTAGACGACTTTAAAATGATATTGCCAATATTGTTGAGTTGCGCTCCTGGGACGACTTTACTTATAAGATAGTTCATTCGATTACATGAAATCAACTTTAACTTGAGAATATCCGTCAGAAAAAATCATAGCATGTAATTCGTCTTTAAAAAGACAAACACATGACATGATGACAGTAAAATTCTCCTGTTAGTGATTCCAGAGTAAATTATGAGGGAAAAACCAGGAAAAAAACCTCATAATACTATCCCGACATTGTAAGTATTTGTTCGTGAATTTAGTTTACCTTCAACAAACATCAAAATTCTGATTTTATATGTTACGTTATTTAAAAAACATAAATGATGTATCCTCTATATGTTACTGACTTACTAATACTGGTATTTTCTTATTAATAACTTCCTCTTTCAATATTGGTAACCAGATCCTACTACATTCTGCCGAGGAATTTGCGACACAATTGGCCTCATTTAGCATAATTAGAGCCGCTTCTTTGATTTTTCTTTTTTTACCATCCGTTTCTTTTAGGACTATATTTGAATTATTCCATTGAACCCTATGTTCATTATCCCATGCGTGTTTACATATTTGAGATCTATCAAATTCTCTATTTTTAATATAAGATTGATGTTCACTTATTCTAACATTTAATGGCCTTGATGATTCACCTAAATAAAACTGATCGCATTCACAAGGTATTTTATAAATGCAATTCTTTGTCCTTTCTTGTTCATTGTTAGGTTTGGTTTTGGAGAAAATAGATCTCAACGTGTTTGTTGTTTTGAATGTTGTTGAAATGTTGAATTTATTTCCTATCCTTTTAAGTTTTTCTGATAATCCTTTTATGTACGGTATTGTTATTTTCCTCATATTATTCCTGTGTATGCTGTAGGATCTCGTTCTAAGTTGTTCTGTTCTATTCGATCGTTTGTTGAAAATTCCTTATTTATAAACGATAAAGGATAATCATTTTTTAATAAAACAGATGTTAACAAATGTTTCTCCTCCAAGAACGAATTTTCGTTAGAACAAGTAATTTTGGCTCTATCGTATAAGGATTTAATTATTCCCTTTTTTACATTAATATTGTGATTTGATTTGAAATTTAAATATCTATTGGTGTGTGTTGGTTTTCTATACACCTGAGTCTCATATCCAGTATCGTTCTTAGAGATTAAAACATCCAGGAAAGGTAGCGTGTTATTATATTCCTTTTCCATGGTAATATAATTTATAAGAGACAATAACATTTACCGTATTTTTATAAACGTATTTTTATCGTTAATTGTGGCTTATTCCCAGTTATAAATAGTAATATATTATAACGGGTGCACTTTTTGTCAAAAAAGTATTTCGGTTTTGTCACTGATAACGGCAGATCGTTTGTTGAATCAATTTGAAAATTTATTGCCGAAAAATCATGATAAATATCCTAAATTCAATCATTGTGTACGTTCATACAGGTGTAGAATTTTTAAAATCGAAGACGTTTTGTCTTTTCATAAAACTTTTTATGCTCATAGCAATAGAATAAATTCAATACAATACAATAATTCCATAATAAAATGCTCAAGGTACAATCGAATAATTTCATAATAAAATATACTGAATTACAGAAGTTTATTCATGTATGCTAGAATGAATTTGTTGTCATTTTGGGCATTGGTGCAGATAGACTAAAAGGGGATTAAATCGGCACATTCGAAGAGCTAAAATGGCAAGCGAAAAAGTGGCGAAGACAGAAGAAAAATTATATTTTTCCTACTGTAATGGCTCATTATTGTAGGATTAACAGTTAGTAAATTATACAAAACTAGTTTTTGTCGCTTTTCTATAAACTATAAAACGTGGATTTAGGTCGATTTAAAATCAGACAACCCAATTATCCGATCTATACTAACCGCAGAATAGCTCCTTTCGGTAGAGAGAAAATGGTTGATTTCTTGTGGTTTTGTATTGCTTTCCATGCTATCTTCAGCTCCGCTACTTTCATTCTTCGCACTCTTCTCATCTATGTCACTTTTGGCAGCATCTTCCGACGGTATTTCCTCGACGTTGACATTCAAAGGACTATCTCTGTCTCTCTCGATATCTGTAATTCCACAAACCAAATCTTCCAAGTTGAAGAGGGTGTCGTTCGAACAACAAGAATCTTGGCTTGGCGTGTGGCGATTTAGAGGACCTCTAACGGGGCTTTCCAGAGTGTGGGCTGAAGTGCTTTCCACTTCGTGGGTTAATGTGTCTGTGTCGGTTCGTCCGGACCAATCGCCATCATCCAGTTCCTTTTCGTTCCTAAAAAATAAAGTATATGATAAAGTAATCAAAATAAAAACTAAATAGCTGGAAATCATTTTATTTGTGTACTAAAACTAAATTTCGTACTACCCATTTAGTTTTGTACAATTCTGTGGTAATTTTATGATTTTTCTCATGATTCATCGTTTGTTCAAACAACACTTTATGGACCGCTGATTTTACATTGAAAAAACGTTGTCATTGCACTAACAAATCATATTGACACAACTAGATGTGATATATTGCACTATGGTAATATGTGGATCAATATTGTCATTGCGGAAATTACAAATGGTATTTCCCGGCATAAAAATGCTGAACAAAGGTAAAAACGTAGTTAACATCGAAAAATAAAACGAAAACTTCTTTTTTAAGAAAAGAAGTAAAGAATCAAAAGAGTTATAAAAATTATAACAATCAAGCAATAACTTCAAAATTATAGGTAATAATAAATCTTAGTACCGCAGTTTAAGGTAATAAATACGATTTCTTAGAATATTTACTCTCATTTGCTCATTAGAATACTTTGTTGTGTTTAAGAAAATACTTTGTTGACATAAGAGTATGAGACAGTTGAGTGCGGGAAAATTTTGTCACCGTGGAAAACCAGAATGATTTTATGTTTTGCCGCCAGGTGGGATAGGTGAGTGGGACAGGTAGGTGAGAGATGAGTAGGTGTCGTCTTTGAATGTTTCAATTCTTCTTTCTGTCAAATGCCGATTCTTCGTTTTCTCCGTCACACAGTTCATACATTTCGACAATTTATTAACAGGTGAATTGACTTAAACTATTAAAATATCACTAAATATAGTTTTACAGTGTCTCGATTATACACGGTGAAACTATAAAAGATTAAGAAGTTAAGAATAATGTGAGATTACAAATTAAGGGATTAACTTGTGATTGAACATACCATTAAACAAAAAACCTATTGACTGCACTACTTACCTCGGAGATGCTGTACCAGAAACGTCTTCAATCAAACTTTCTTCTGGTATCGGAGATAGCGGAGTATTGTAGACGTTATATCGTAAAAATACTTCGTTTCGTTCTAAGGTCTCCCATTCATCTTCTTCCTTAACTTTGTCCGTGTTATTTCCCTAAAAAATATTTTCAATAAGTAGATGAATAATCTAGAAAATATAACCAGAAATAAAAAATTCCTGGTAATAAGATAATCACTAACATATTAAATTGTGATTAGCCTCATATATGCTTCAAGAGTATCAGCTAATCCAGAGGTACCTGTTTATAAAAAAAACATTTACAGATGGATTCGATGTTCGAATCCATCGATGTTTAATTGTAGAAAAAGATTAGATCCTCCGTTTTATTATCGAATAAAGCAATGTTACAAAGCTTAGACACAATAATTCCTTTCAATATTTCAAAAGTCAGTCAACACATGTTATCATGGCGCATTGCTCTCTCTGATTAGAATAAAAACTTTTCTCCATTCAAAAAATGTGACACACCAGCCAAAATTTTCAAGCAGAAAGCACTATATAGTAGTAGTTAAGGTCTGTCCCAAACCCTTTTTTCAGTGCGTCACTAATTTTGACGTCATATAGGATTTAAAGAATGTCGAGAATTATTGCATGACATTTTAGTTAAATCTGACAGTTGCAGGATCGTAATCGGCTAAATGTGAAAAGGTTATTTTTTTTAAATGCATAGCAGTTTGTCATAATTCTGTTCTATTCTGTTCTATTTTATACATTCCAAGGAAAGTGCTTAATTAGCTTAGATTCGTTTATTGATTTATTATTATTTATTACAAACACACAGGCATATTGCAATGACAATTGCAATTGCAAGGCATAAAAATAGACATTCCTGTGATAAAATAACATCGATTTAAATCAGTCATATTTGGATAAGTAATTTTCTGATAAGATTCTGTGGCAGCCAATAGTTTAATTTTGTGAAGATTTGTCATTAAATAGTGGAAATAGTTTAAATAGTGAAGAAGTTGATTTTTGAGTTATTCTACCAGATTTGGTATGCAAATGAAAGAAGGTTATAAAGTTTAGTTAAAAAAACAATATAAATAGTTTAAATAGTGAAGCAGTTGATTTTTGAGTTAATCTACCAGTTCCGGTATCCAGATGAAATCGTGTTAATGGAGTTTAGTTAAAAAACAAGATACGAATGTAAGTTTACCTTCTTTTTTATGAATAATAAAAATGAATATTATATTTCAAACAATCCATAATCCCATTCAGAATCTGATTCTTTAAAATCAATGATTACACTAGATATGTGGCTGGTATCAATTATATCTTACATTTCAAGAAAATGTCGTGGTTCTAAAAAGAACCCTTTTGATACATATAAATATTCATAACGGTATTAGTTTAAGATATTTTCTCAATATCATTCCGGAATTCACAATCTGATTCGCGAACGACAGAAACTGATAATAAAGATAACTCAGCCTCTTTTTCTAATTGAAACTAATTTAATAATTTTAATATTAGTCTTTGTTCATTCTCGGTATATCTCGGAATATTTAAAATATTTTTATGACAATAAATACAAAATTTAATTTTCACTGTAGGTAAAATGTCTGAAAATACTAACCTGGAACGGCAATTATCATTTTATCAGTTGACATTGTGAAAGTACTGTCACTGTCATTATCAAGATCATCTGTGTCAAATTATATTTATATGCATAATTGATTGGATATCTATTTAGCGTATTCTAAACTCCAACCAATTATACGTTCGTAAGTAGAATTCGCTTTAATATGCGAATACCCGTGACCGATACCTAATTTTCTAAGTTCTATGTATAATAATCAGTGACTCACGTTTTTTTCTGTCACTTCTAGCTTAATGCGTTAGAGAGAATTCGAACAACTATGACGCACTGAAAGAAGGGTTTGGGACGAACTGTACTCTTTCCCTCTTATTTTGGGCTTTGGATAATAATAGATTACCTAGTGGGAGCTTAGAACGCTTAGTGGAACTGTGATGGGACGTCGGTCAGTATAAAATCCAAGGAAGCGGTGGATAGACGAAGTAAGAACCGATGCTAAAGAGATAATGAGGGTGGATAACTGGAGGAGAGTAGCCAAGGAAAGGGGTGCTTGTAGGAGGATGCTGGGAGAGAACAGGGCCTAACGTGGGCTGTAGCGCCATAGGAGAGAGATTATATTATATAGAGAGTTATAGTATAGCACAGTAAACTGAATGATTTCTATATTAAAAATGTCATTAATAAAATAAATTTTAGTGTGTGTAATAAATTATATATAAATATTATATTCATTTCATTTGCTTTTAAGGGAACAAAATCAAATTTTCTTACGGAACATAAAATATATGTAATTACTATTTAAATGGGAATAAGCCACAATTAAAGGTTAAAGTACGTTTATTGACGTTTTAATTTTCACTTCGGAAATCGTTTTCAAAATACAAACAGTAGTAAATTAAACAAATTCTGTTTGTTTATTAAGAAAGAAATTAACAAAGAAACAAAATTTGTTTAATTTACTACTGTTTGTATTTTAAGAACGATTCCTGAAGTGGACATTGAGACGTCAATAAACTTACTTTAACCTTAAATTGTGGCTTATTCTCATTTAAATAGTAATTACTTAAAATGCCACTAAAAAATAGCTTCAGAACAATAATAAAATATATGAAATTACATAATTTACTTTTTAAGTGATTGAAATTAAATTTTAAAAATTGTTTGATGCCCATTAATCATTGCTTAATTACTAATATTTCTTCTTATATCGCTTTTACTTTATCCGTCAAGACACATATAATAATTTAATATTTATATCGGTCTTAGATTTAATTTTTAGGTAATTACGTATGTATTTAAATAAGTAATTAAAATCTTTTTTTGGTACGCCTCTGCAAAGTTGATAAGGGGCCTTATTCTTGAATCGAGAGAAAATTTTACTCCCCGCTAAGCTAACTCGCTTTTCTACTCCATCATATTTTACTCCCCACTAAGCTAACTCGCTTTTCTACTCCATCATAATTTCTCTCGATTTTAAAAAGATGTATTCTTGAATACGGGGAGTAGAAAGGAATGAGAGAAACTATGAACAGTGTTGCCGGGTTTTTAATGAAAATTTTAACCAATCACAAAAGTTAATTACTGACAAAGGACAAGATACTGTCAACCGTCAACCTGATCACTCCCCTTAGTGGTGGGCCAACCTGCGATTTTTGTGTAGCTGTGACAAAATGTGACTGTTCCAGTATTGTCACGGTGACGAAAAGCAGTGATTTTTTGGAGCAGTTTAATCTTAACTGCTACCCTGCTACTATTGCTACCTTTGAATATTCCAAAATATATTTTAAAATTTGTAAAAAATTTCTATCTGACAAAAGAAATGGGTCCGTTGGTTGGAGGACATCCCGGCCAATTTGAAGATCTTCAACTGCCTCCAAAACATCATTAAACATAATATAATTCCAGTAGAGCATATGATTGATATCCATCTTTTATTAACTTCCGCTTTTTAAAAAACAAAATACTTCCCTAGGTTTTTGAAAGGTTATGTATTGTTATTTTCGCTCCCATTTACAATTTCTCTTACCTACTATCAGTAGAAATTGTTATTCCCTTAGGGAGTGACATTTCTCTCACACATTAGGAGAGTTTTTTTCAAGAATACAGCATTTTCGGTTTTAGGGAGCCACGCCTACTTTTACGTCACTTTCTCTTGCAATTTCTACTCCCTGAAATTCAAGAATAAGGGCACTGGGAAATATCCTTTCGTCGCTTTAAATGCAATGTTGCTAAAAAATCGTCTTCGGGTAAAAACTGTTTTAGTATAGAGGTATGATCCTTATTTTCACCGACACATCCAGATCTGCAAACAGAGTAGGAGCGGCTTTTACTACAACATATAACTATAACAATACCTATCAGCTCCCTCCCCAAACTTCCAGATTCTCAGCTGAACGCTTTTCTATCCTCCATTTATCAACACACATGACATCAGATCTTCTTCTTCTTCATGTGCCATCTCCTCTATGAAGGTTGGCAATTCGCACTTTCGAACCATCATGGCAATTCGCACTTTCGATACCGCTGCTCTAAAGAGGTCAGCAGAAGTGCAGTTAAACCAAGCTCTCAAATTAATTAATCACGATATGCGTCTTCTTCCGCGACTCCTTCTACCCTGTACTCTTCCTTGCATTATTAATTGCAACGCAAAAAAAAGTTATAACTCTCGCCCCTCAAGACATATCCCAGATATTGCAGTTTTCTGACTTCTGCAGTTGGGTGACTGCACCCAACTTATGCTTAATATCCTTCTGTACACCTATAACTCGAAGGCTTCTAATCTGTCCGAAACATCTTTCTTTAATGTCCAATCCTCCAACCCATAAGACATTCTGATGGAGGATGATGAGAGTATCTGACATCAGATATTCTCTAATTTATTAGTGAATCCATGTGGTGCATCAATTGCACCCTAAAGCAACTATACCCGAAACATCCCGTTCTGCTTTTAATTAAGTCGGAACTCTTAACATGCCAACAAAAGAACAGGTTAGTTCCCTTCCTCTGGGTACCTTCACATTGTAAGATAAACGAAAATGATAAAGCTGACATATTAGCAGAAAATGCAAGTGAGAATTTGTTAACAGACATCATAAATACCTGTGTTCATACTGATTTAAAGCAGTATTTTAAGAACAAAAGAAATAAATTCGAAGAATTAAAACTCTACATTAAGAACTATCAAACAGTGTGCTACCATGAAAACTTTCTACCAAGAGAAGAGACCAAGTGATTATATCCAAATTACGACTTGAACAAACAAAGATAACCCATGATTTTAAAGATACATTAATGGACTGTCCTCTCTATGTACTATAGAGAGGACAACATAGTTGAGCATACTACAGCAATAACAACAACAGTTACCTAATGCCTTTAAAAAAAAAACAAAGAGGCAAACCGGTTTTCAATCTAAGAAAGAAGAGACAGGGAATAAACGGAGCCATTGTAGTTGCGTGAAAGTGAAAAGCAGATTAATATTTAGCTAGTAGGATCGACAAGCGCTTCTGGGGTTAAAAACAGAAACAAGGAGTTGGGATAAAGTAATTTTGTCAAAAAAATAATCAACAGAGAAGATATTAAAATTTTTACCTGTGCGTGTGGTAATTTGGTCAGTAATTCGTTTCGAATGGCGGACATTATCTCATCATCAATACCGAAACCTACGTAGGTATCTGTACTTGGAGACTGAACCTGAATTTCTCCACTTAGGTCACTAGTTGGTTGGGGATGTAGGAACCACCCACCTCCGTTTTCAAAGCTTCCTTCATTGAGATCCGTTAAACCTGAAAAAATATAACAATTATTAGCAACATGTCATCTTGTTGAATAAATTAAGCTTTAATTCAGTTTTAATTATTTGAGACTGAATTAGTTTTCTTTGAAATTTAATATACATTATAGTCTAAAATCCCACTGCAGGATCACTACGCTCATAACGTAGTTAATCAAACTCAGATTTTTTCATTCATTTAAAATTAGGAGAATACATTGATATTAGGTTGCCAGTCAAAAAGTGACCGCAAATATTTTTAATTGAATTGATAATAATTAATTTTTAATCAAACATTTTATTTCGTTTAATTATTTTTTGAATAAAATACGCTGCCATTACGGATATCCATGTTTTTTATATTAAATTAAAACTCATTTTTTCTTAATATAAGTTTGTCTAAAAAAAGGTCTCAAATTAGGGTTGCCGGCTGTTAAAACGCGAGGTATCAAAGATAAAGTAATGTCTTGGAAAGTTTTAAAGAGTGTCCAATAAATATAAAATAAAACTTTACTTATGACGACTCGCGTTAATTCAAACCTCATTGGCCACACACAAGTCGACGTTGATGTCCGGGTTGGAGTTAATCAGAGTGATACGTCTCGGATTGTGAAAAAATATTGAGAGACGAATACTGTTAGCGATCATCCAAAAAGCGGAAGACACGGAATTACTGCCAATGCCCAAGAAGGCTTTTTAACGTTAACTGCCCAGAGAAGCCTCTCTATGACTGCCCCAGATATTAGAAGAGAGCTCCAGCAAGCTCATGATATTGTAATTTGCGATCAGATTATTAGAAACAGGTTACATTCGGCGAATTTATTTACAAAAAGACCATTGTTTGTACCAAAGCTTACGTTAGAGCAGAAAAGGACTCGGCTGGAATAAGCCAATGAACATTTACAATGACATGACAACAGATAGGGAAACGTGTTAGCCTATTGTCGGATAATCGCGGAATTAGGATTTGGAGGAACCCAAAACGACAGGATAGACTTAACCAAGCTGTCCAAACAGTCCCATATCAAGGGGGCTCCATAATGTTTTGGGGCGCATCGTGCTAAATAATAAAACTTCTTTAATTCATATTGTTGGTAACATGAATGGACAAATTTATATTGATACCATTCTTGGGCCTGTTGTACGCTTGTGGCGAGGAGCTGTTGGTCCAGAATTTATTTTTATGGACGGCAATGCGCCTCCCCATCGTACAACACATGTGGCAGATTTTTTAGAGATAGAAGATATCGTCAGATTACAATGGCCACCTTGCTCACATGATCACAATCCCATTGAGCACGGATGGGATATATGCAGTGCATCGAGCAAAAAGACAAAAGAGGGAATGTAATGGTAGAGGGGGCAAAAATATTGTTAGACAGGTAGTGAGATCTTTAGAGGCCACATTAAACAAGGAAAGAGAGTCTCTCTCCTTGTTTGACATCAAATTTAGTTGGGTTATGTTATTGTTTGTTCCAAATGTCACATGAAATCTTATTTATATTGAAGTTTTTTAACAATTGTGTCGCATTTTAGACTATTACCGTTAATAATTATTAAAACTTTCTCGTCTAAGACACATTCTGAAAAATATTAAATAGCTACTGTTAATAAGTATCGGAAAATTTAAATTTAGTGCTTTCGCATTTCCGAATATGTCCGCCATCAGAGGCCACTTTGTTGGTCTCCTTTTCATAAGGATTAGATTCCCTCTTTTGTCTTTTTGCTCGATGATGCAGTGACAGTGCAGTGATCAGTGAACATTGTAGTAGTGTCTGGGGGCTCCGGAGACTGAGACCTCGGAAGCCCTGAGGAAGACATCAGAGAGGATGTCGAAAGCTCCGTCGAAAGTATTTCGTTAGAAAAAAAATAGATTTCACCAGATTTGGTGGATAATTTTGAAAATATTACATTACGCAACATTTTTGAGTGTGTATAGTTTGTGTAGATAATTATGTACTAGAAATATATTTACCTTCTAATGTAGGCTCTTTTTCATTGTTTTCATTCTTGGTGTAAGTAGAATTCAGCAAATTATCTTCCTTATTGTAAGTAGAGTTCAATGCTCCAACTCTTGTGTCGATCTCACCCACACATGCTCCATTCTCTTCAGTTCGAAAATCTTTAGAAGTACTAGGTTTCGCACTATCATGTACACTAACTTTTGCACGATTCTTAGCCTCATCGTGAACTTTTTTGTTAGCATCGTCGACATTATCACACGTTTTGTAGACTCCCTCGCTTTCGATGAATATTAAACTTTGAGGTTCCGAAGAAAACTCGTCGAATTGGGTGTCGGAATGTAAATTGGAATATTCCGAAGTAGGTGTAAAGAAATTGCTCCATACTTCTACAAAATATCAAGAAAGTTACAGTTTATGCCCAAAAATGTTATCAGCAATTTATGGTATTGTTATAGTATTATTTTTTATGGGATTATTAATATGAAATTATTCTTAAATCTTTTAAAATAGAATATTGTAGTATATTATAATAGGCATGGAGAAAAGAAAAGAAAGTTAACGAACACATGTAATGTCAATTGTCAATGTAAAAAGGTTTTTAATTATTATTTCCCTGTTAGTTAAAAATACAAGTTGTATAAAGCTATAAAACTATGTTTAATCATTTATATTATTCTTCCATATCATACTAAATATTACATTATATCGAACCGATTGCGCAAAAGTAAGAAACCTACTCTAATTTGCACGAATGTACTACTATTTTCCTACAAGTATTTTTTTACAAAAAAATAACTCAAAAAATATGACTGCCCACTGGTATTTGAACCCACAGCTTTGCATTATAAAAAACGTTAAAACTACACCTAAATAATATACTGCATTCTAGCCCCGTATGAATTGAAGATGTCGAAAGCGATATTAAATTAAAACAAATTTTGGGCCAAAATGAATTTCAAACAAGTGTGTTATATTGTTATATATCATATATTTGCTTGCATTCTAAATCATTATATATTTTATTTTGTCCACACAATTCTTCTTCTTCTTTCAGTGCCTATTCGTTCCGAATATTGGCAATCATTCTGGCTATAATTATTTTATTAACTGCTGCTTTAAATAAATTCGTTGTTGTTGTGGAGAACCATTTCCTCAGGTTCTTCAACCATGATATTCTCCTTCTCCAAATTCCTCGCTTTCCGAATACTTTACCCTGTAGGATTACCTTCAGTAATCTGTATTTAGTGCTGTTTCTCATTATATGTCCGAGATATTCCAACTTTCTCCTTTTAATGGTATACATCACCTCTCTTTCTTTGCCCACTCTTCGTAATACGGTCTCGTTGGTTATCTTGTCTGTCCATGATATCCTTAGAATTCGCCTGTATAGCCACATCTCGAAGGCTTCAAGTTTTTTCTCCATTGCTTCAGTTAGTGTCCAGGATTCAACTCCGTAATACAATATTGAGAAGATATAACATCGTAGGAGCCTTATTTTTATCTCCAGATTAAGATTGTGGCTTTTAAAGAGGTTGGCCATGTTATTGAATGCACTCCTAGCCTTCTCTATTCTACATTTTATTTCCTGTGAGTGATCCCATTGTTCATTTACTGTTGTTCCAAGGTATTTATACTGTTTTACTCGGTCCACTGGTGTATTATTGATAAGTAGTTGAGCGTCTCTAACTTTATTTTTGCTGATGATCATAAATTTAGTTTTTGTTATATTTACTTGAAGTCCAAATCTTTCACTTACTTCATTTACTTTGTTTATTAGTTGCTGTAAACTGTTCAAACTGTCTGCAAAAATAACGGTGTCGTCTGCATATCGGATGTTGTTTAGGCGTTCTCCATTTAGAAGTATTCCATGTTCGCATTTTTCCAAGGCTTCACTAAATATTTCCTCTGAATATAGATTAAATAATATAGGTGAAAGTATACAACCTTGTCTAACGCCTCGTAGAATCTGGATCATTTCCGTTGGTTCACCTTCAAAATTCGTTCTTATTGTGGCTGATTGGTTCCAGTATAAATTTTGTATTATACGCCGATCTTTATCATCCATTTGGGCTTTTCTTAGAATATCCATCATTTTTTGGTGTTGAACTGTATCAAATGCTTTTTGGTAGTCCACAAAGCAGGTGTAAATATCGCAAGTCATATCTCTGCATCTTTGAAATAATACTTGTAGACTAAACAGTGCATCTCTTGTACCTACGCCTTTCATGAATCCAAACTGTGTGTCTTGTATTCTCTCTTCGCATAGCTTGTATATTCTACGATGTATAATTTCAAGAAAAAGTTTTAATGTATGGCTCATTAGACTTATTAGCCTATATTCTCCGCACTTTTTTGCTCCCTGTTTCTTTGGTAAGGTAATAAATTCTGAAAGTAGCCAATCTTTTGGGATATTGCCTGTGTCATAGATATTATTGAAGATTTTACATAGTACTCTTAAAGATTCATCATCAAGAAGTTTAAGAAATTCAGATTGTACTCCGTCTGGTCCTGGAGCTCTACCTTCTTTTAGTGATATTATGGCTGCTCTTATTTCTGCCACTAGTATAGGTGGTCCTGTTTCCGTAGGTATTGGGGGCTGGTTCTCTCTCTCTCATCAAAAAATAAATTTCTTATGTAATTTTTCCAGGTATCATTGATACTCTCTTTGTCCACGATTATCTCTCCATTGTCATTAACAAGTTTACTTACTCTTCTGTTTTTACATTTACCTGTAATTTCTCTTACCTTCTTATGCACACACAATTATTATACACTCTTACCTTCTTATGCACACACAATTATACACAATTAAAATATCCTAAATAACTTAAATCACTCACAAAATTGCAAAACAACTAGAAAACGAGTACCACACAATGTAAATAAATGACAGAATAAAATAAGTTTATGTTTTAATACCTAATCCCAACACCAGCGCCACCTACATGCATGTGATCTATTACTCTTTAAAATTATGCCTACCTCCAGAATACACTCCCAAGGTTCCAGGTTCTCCTTTGTTATAAGTAGCATTGACCGTATTACCCTTTTCGTTATCATCACAATTATAAGTTTTGTTACTGTCTTTGCAATAAGTAGCATCTTTTGAAACCACTCTAGTTTGATCAATATCACAAGTTTCATCCACTCCTTGACCTTCGATAAACAAAAGACTTCTCGGTTCAGAAGAAAAACTGTCAAACATATTTTCCGGGTGTTGATTTTGGTGATCCAGAGTAGATCCTAAGAAATTGTCCCAGGTTTCTAAAGAATAATTCAGATCTTTATTATCAGGTACGTAGTCGCTCAAATTTTCTTCAAACTTCATACTAGAAAATTTGGGCTCCATGGATCTTTTATTGAAGGGAGTACTACAAGTGAAAAGGTTAGAATGTGTCAAGGAATTTGGCATTGCTTCATCTTGGTTTAAACTCAAGTCGAAATTTACAACTTGATCTGTATCACTAACTTCAAGAGATTCGTTCTTTTCTACACCATTATCGACGTCTTTAATCTCATGGGCGCATTTACTAGAAACCTCCTGGAGTGATTGGGCTATTATTTCTTCGATAATGGTCACTATATTGTCTTCTATTAATTTTTTATTCAATATTGTTGAATTGTTTTTATAATTTTCGGTAATTTGTTTTCCTGATTCAGTTTTTTCCTCAGGATTTTTTTCTGTTTCAGTTGTTGATGAGGTGGCTAAAAAATAAAAACACTTTTAAGGTATTGTCAAGGTAGACAGCTTTCAGTTTATTTTGACAGTCTATGTAAGAGATATACAGGGGGAGATATATATCGGACATCAGGAACAACCATTACAGGAATCCTGGAATATGTTACCAGTTATGGGATCAAATAGCAAATATTTCAATAGAATAATGAATTATTTACGAAAAGGTTAAATCATGATTAATTAAAAATTGTATAGTTTATTATCCAAAGAATGATTGTTAATTCTAATAAGTAATAATATGATTTTTATCAACGAGATGAGACTTAAAGGTATCTATTCGAAGATGAACAAGTGTGGCAAAATCATGATATCGATTGTCAATGTCATTGTCATGTCATACCTATTTAAACAAAGGGCGCAGTATAATTATTAATCCTTAAAAGAAATGAAATGAATTAGCAACTCTTTTGATGCTTGCTTTGGTTATAGTATATTGTTAAATATTTGGTACCATTTGCTACGTTACTTCCGAGTTTATTTTTTATTTTATTACAAAAAGGTAAGTGTAATTCTAACTAAAATTAGTTATGTATAAAAGAAAACGATTTGTTTTTAAGCATCATCAACAGATGATGAAAAACGTAGAGAATATTGTTGAAAATATTAATAACCCCGATATTCTATCTTCTTCAAACCTTTCTTCTGAATCATTAACTGATCATTTTGATGAGAGTTTCAGTGCAAATAGTTCATATTACAATACTTCCGATTTAAACTTTTTATCAACATCATATTAAGTATCTAAAATAATCCAAATGGACCACGTGGACGGTCATTCTAGTTTAAATCCTTTACAAAGCTCTTCTTTCAATGAAACTGAAGAAGGGTCTAAACATGGTTGTAACGAGAATTCTGGAGAGCCTTATCGAGATGTTTTTAATTTTTCTAATAAATTATGCAACTGGAATTTGCCCTTTAAAATACTAGGTGATTTATTAAAAATTCATAAAGAAGTTCCTGACCTTTCTCATTTACCATCAGATGCTAGAACCCTTCTTGCTTCACATAGAGAACTTAAAAATTAAAAGACGTTTTCGCTGGAAAATATTTTCACTTTCGTCTTAAAAAATATTCTGATCCATATGATTCAAATTTCAAACGTTTTTTTCAAATTTGCAAAAAACAATGTTATAGAAATTTGTGTAAATTTTGATGAAATCCTTCTGAAAAAGAGTTCTAGTAGTCAGTTTTATCCTATTTTGTGTAATTTGTTTATATATCCAAAAATTGTAGGTTTAATAGACATTTACCATAGACATTAGTTAGGAGAAACCAAATGATGCAAATGAATGTTTGATTGATTTTCTAACGGAGGCTGTTTTTTTTTATTAGATAGTTTAAGCTAAAATAATTAAGCATGGATGGTCATGTTTGTGAAGAAGCCACAAGAAGCTGATCAGCAATAAAATAAAATTCAAGGATAATATAGTTGGCTAGGGAAAAAGGCTAAGGTACATTTAAGAATTTATACTATCGGTTAAATGGCCACATACAGCCGATGAAGCATATCGTTAACTGTGTCTTATATGTAATGTAGATGGCAAAATTTCTCTACAAATATTCAAGTCTAGCAATGAGGTTGCTTTAAGAACTACAGCTAGAGATATAAGATGAATATTTGTTGTATTAGACCTACCTATATTTTATTTATACACTGTTATTTTTGTTTTTTAAGTGTGAAAGTGTAATTACTGCTCATTTGGTCATTTGGTCAAAAAAATAAAAAAATAAAACAAAAATTTAAAAAAATAAAAAAAAAATAAAAAAAATTAAAAAATTAAAAAAAAAATAAAAAAATAAAAAGTTCCCTCAATATATACGAACGAAAGTAGTGCATTTTACCAGTTATCACATATGGCTCACAAACATTGACATATGACTTTCACAAAGGAGAACATCGACACGATATCCAAAACACAAAGAGCAATGGAAAGTCAGATGCTGGGTATCGGTCTTAAAGGCAGGAAAAGAAACTCATGGATCAGAGAAAAAACAAAGGTGAACGATGTATGTATGTAACAGGTTGAAAAACTTAAATGGAACTTAGCCGGTCACATTCTCCGGCAAAAAGATGAAAGATGGAATAAGCGAATTCTAAACTGGAGACCATGGGAAAAGAAAAGAAAAAGAGGAAGACCACAGATGAGATGGACTGACGACCTTAAGAGAACGGCAGGAAAGGACTGGATGCAAATCGCCCAAAATAGAGACCAATGGAGATTAACAGAGGAGGCCTATGCCCAAGAGTGAGCATTTAATGCTGATTAGATAGATAGATAGATTGGTTGGTATACAAATAAATACCAATGGCTGAGTTGGTATTCTTTTAGTTCAGGCGAGATTCATTATGACTATGGCATTTGAAATTCATGTGTTTAATTTTACGCTTTTGAATGATGATTTATTCACAATAAGCAAAGTATAATTAACTAAATCTGAAATTAATTTGTTCAATTTATGAATGTATATTAATTTTGTTTTCAGATGCTGCTTGTAAAAATCTCCAAAACCAGCGCTGCGATGGGTAAAGAGATTGAAACTTGATAATGAAATATCCGAAGAGAGCTAAAGAGAGGGCAGATGCTGAGACATTTATTTTTTATTTCACAAAAAAGATTCTTAAATAAAGAGAATGACGCCACTTTTACTACTTCGTACGATGGCATTAGACATCTAATGTACATCCTCTGTGTTAAAATCATCGAGCAAAAAGACAATAGAGGGAATGTAAAGGTAGTGGGGGCAAACATATTGTTAGACAGGAAGTGCGATCTTTAGAGGCCACATTAAACAAGGAAAGAGAGTCTCTCTCCTTGTTTGACATCAAATTTAGTTGGGTTATGTTATTGTTTGTCCCAAATGTCACATGAAATCTTATTTATATTGAAGTTTTTTAACAATTGTGTCGCATTTTAGACTCTTATCATTAATAATTAATTAAAACTTTCTCGTCTAAGACACATTCTGAAAAATATTATATAGCTACTGTTAATAAGTGTCGGAAAATTTAAATTTGGCGCATTCGCATTTCCGGATATGTCCGCCATCAGAGGCCACTTTTTTGGTCTCCTTTTCATAAGGATTAGATTCCCTCTTTTGTCTTATTGCTCGATGGTTAAAATAGACGTCTGAGGGACATCCCAAAATTTCATCAAGTAGGTCCACCGGGTCCTTTTAGCACAACTAAAAATCAATCAAAGATGGAATACTTGTAGAAATGTTGAAGGTGGGGAGTGAAATTATTCTCGAAGAATTGAAAATTTTTTTCAACGACTGTCTTCACAGAGGAGAAGTTGCATTCGACTCCATAGAACGTTGGGCAATAGAGAGAGCTATGAACAACTGAAGGATAGACTCCCGATACAGAATGCTCATACATAATATTTACAAAAAAGCTAGAATGAAAATACAAATAGATGCAAAAACCAAAGCTATAACAATCAACAGGAGTTCGCCAGGGAGATGTTATCTCACCAAAGCTATTCACACTTGAACTTGAAGACGTGTTCAAAGACATTAACTGGACAGATAAAGGAATAAATGTTAATGGAAGAAAACTAATGAGTCATTTAAGATACGCTGATGACATTGTAATATTCGCTACAAGTTTCGAAGAACTACAGACCATGATGACGCAACTATTTCAAGCTTCGGAAAAAGTAGGTCTTAAGATGAACTTGAAAAAAACAAAAATAATGACAAATACACCGAACATTAGAAGAATAACGTTAAACGACATAAATTTAGAAACAGTAAGCGAATACATCTACCTGGGACAGATAATGAAAGTTAACAAAGAAAATCAAACTGCCGAAATTACCAGGAGAATAAGGTTAGCATGGGCAGGATTTGGAAAACTGAGTTGGATCTTGAAAAGCACTAAAATAAAACAATATTTGAAAACCAGAATTTACGATCAGTGTATCCTCGCTATACTCACGTATGGCTCACAGACGGGAACACTCACCAAGTCTAACATAGATAAAATAGTAAAAGCACAAAGAGCGATGGAAAGATCAATGCTCGGGGTGAGACTTATAGACAAAAAAACAAACAAATGGATTAGAAGCAAAACGAAAGTAAAGGACGCAGGAGAACATGCTGCCAAATTAAAATGGAGCTGAAGGATAAGAGATAGAATCATGAAATACAACAATGGAGACATTAGGAAAGAGAAGCAGAGGAAGACCACAAATGAGATGGGCGGATGATATTAAGAAGATCGTAGGACACAATTGGAAGCAAGTGGCGCAAAATAGGACACACTGGATTGATTTGGGGGAGGCCTATGTCCAAAGTTGGATTACTTAAGGCTGAAGAAGAAGAAGGTCCACCGAACGTCTGATTAAGGTCCAGATAACGTCCCTGTACGTGCAACGAATATTCGCTCAGAATGTTAAATAGACGTCCAGTGCACGTTTGACACAGCGACATTTGAACCAATCTAGGACGTTAAAAGGACGTTCCTTTGGACCAAATCGGACATTCGAGGGACGTCCTAAGTCCGTGAAGGACGTACTACGGACGTCCACTACTATTAGGTATCATGTGGTATTAGGGTATTTACCAATCCCGTATATAATGTTACAAACTTACCTATATTACTGATTGATTCATCTTGTAAATTCAAAAGAACGCTGTTTTCCACTTGAACATCAAAATTGAAAGTCTCACACACACTCTCGTTAGGTACCACCGAATCCAAGCCTCGCACGATGTCAAAAGTCAAATTCTCATCTATATTATCACAAGTTTCAGATCCCTCATTCGCTTTAATTACATTTTTACAGTCTACTTCTCTCATTTCCACATCAGATATATCCAATCTATCATCATCTCGTCGTTCATCCGTTACATTTGAGTTTATACGTAAATCTACATTAATATCTTCTGTATCTTCGTTGCTTGAGACACCATTAACATCAGTTTTATTCACATTTTTCAATGTATCTGCGTCTTTAGTGGTATCCAAGGAAATAATGGGTGAATCTACCCATCTACTTAATTGTTGAAACTGTTGAATTTCTTTTAAACTCAAGTTTGCTTCTGCTGTGTCGTCTTTTGAAATCTCAGCTACATTTGACGTTTTCAGCTCTTTACTTTCCTCACCTATATCTGATTTACAGCCCAACTGTGTATTGTCGAGTATTTCCGGCACGGAAAAATTTATATCTAATATTTTCGCAGCTTCTGCTACTTCCACATGGTGATTACTTGCAAGTGTTTCGTTTCCTAAAGCGCTTGTTGGTGGTTCTGTTGGTCGAGGAATAACTCCGATAAGATCTAGTGTGTTTGATTGATTAGACGGTTGGTTTCTTCTTGGAAAACTGTCTATTTCCCAGGATTTTGGTTTTGATTGGCATATAATATCTGGAACCGACTTCTCTGACTCAACCAACTCCTTGATTAAATCAGGATTAACTTCCATAGAAGTAAAATTTCCGTGTACATTTTGAACTCCTATATCTGGTTGCAATCCACAGTTAACCGAATGGTTTACACTTGCACCAGCTTCTGCAGATTCTTGATTTAACTCAGAACTACTTGCGGTACTTAAACCGGAATCAACCTTGTGTATTTCTTTTAACCTCTCGAGTTTGCTTATTTCTTGGTTTAATTCAGAATTAATTTCGCTTAATTTTTCAACCTCCCTCCATTCTGGCTTTAGTTGTGAGTTGACATCCAAGATGTCGCTTAATTTTTTATTTACACGTATAGGACTGTAATTATCTACGGTAACGTTGTATATGTTGAAGATTTGATTGGCGGGTTTAAGCTCCGACGAGCTGTTTAGTTCTTGTATCAGCCGCGAGGAAGATGTGGCTACTTCACTGTTTCTAAAACTAGTTTGACTAACGTTATCAGGTACAAAAGGCAGACTATCACGACGCTCTTCTTGTAATTTCCTTAGCTCTTCTTTGAACGTATCTTGCACGCTCAGAAGGTTACCTGAAAAATAAAAGAATTTAATAATAAACATAGCAAACATAACAAGAAAAATAACGGTAAAAGCAAAAAGCGAAATGTGGGATAAGAAGTGCCAGGAAATTAATACCTACCTGGGAGGCAGAAAATGTACAGAAACGTGGAAGTTCCTCAGTAAAATAAGAACTAACGAAAGGAAGAGCACAAACATTCAATTAATATCCACACAAAAATGGGAAAAGTACTATGGGGAACTACTGACAGAAAATAGGGACAAATACTTAACTCAATCACCAACAGAGGTTAATATTGAAGGAGAAGATATAACAATACAAGTGACAGAAATTAGAAAAGCTATAAAAGAGCTATAAAACAGATAATGGAAAAATGCTGGGAGTTTGATCGTGAGCTTCATCAGATGTTCATAGATTTTAAACAAGCATTTGATAGAGTATGTAGGGACAGACTGTGGACAGCGATGCAGGAACTTGGCTTTCCAAAACAACTAGTCCGGTTGATACGGATGTGTATGGAACGGTCACGATGTAAGGTGAGAGTTGGACAACAATACTCGGAGACATTTGACATAAACAATGGACTAAAACAGGGAGATGCACTTTCACCACAACTCTTCAACTTAGCTCTGGAGCACATAATCAGAAGTGCAAGAATTGAAAAACCGAATACAGTATTTCATCGAGAAGGACCAAACTTACTACTGGCATTTGCAGACGATATAGATCTAATAGGAAACACGCGATTAAGGATGAAGGAGACTTTCGTAAGGTTTGAGAAGGAAGCAGAGAAGATGGGGCTCCAAATCAACGAAAACAAGACGAAATATATGTATATGAGCCGCAATAACCAAAGCAGAGACAGAATCGGTCAGAACATTACCATCGATGACTTTAACTTTGAGCGCGTTAGAGAATTCAAGTATCTTGGAACAACAATAACTGAAGACAATAACGGATCACAAGAAATAAACAACAGGATTCAGGCCGGCAACAGATGTATTTTTGCCCTCCAAAACCTTATAAAATCAAAACAACTAACACGACGTACGAAGATACAGGTCTATAAAACAATCATACGACCCGTTGTGATGTATGGAAGCGAAACGTGGACGATAACAAAGGCAAATGAAGAGAGACTACGTGTTTGGGAAAGAAAAATCCTAAGGAAGATCTTTGGTCCGGTGCTTGATGAAGCATCAGGACAATATAGGATAAGAACTAATAAAGAGCTTGAAGAACTTTACCCAGACGCCAACATCATAAAAGAAATAAAGTCCAGAAGACTCCAATGGGCAGGACACCTCAGAAGACATTCTGACGAACGAACAGTAAGACTGGTGTGGGAGGAAGTCCCAACTGGAAGGAGACCACGCGGACGCCCTCGTCTTCGGTGGCGAGATAATATAGCAGGAGACCTAAGCACTATGGGCGTGGAGAATTGGATGGAGGTTGCTCAAGACAGAAAACAGTGGAGGCATGTTGTCGAGTCGGCTAAAACCCACGAAGGGTTGTAACGCCACGGAGTAAGTAAGTAAGTAAGTAAGTATAAAAGAACTGAAAATGGTAGGTCTCCAGGACCGGGGGATATCCCGGCCGAACTAATAAAATGTGGATCACAAAAATTGTTTGAAACCGTCACTTGGTGCATAAATCAATTTATAAATGTTTCTCCTGTACCCGACGAGTGGAAAATTGCTTATATTTCGTCGATCCATAAGAAAGGAAATAAGCTTAAATGTGAAAACTATAGAGGAATATCATTCACTAGTACATTCAGCCGTTTGTATGGACGAATAATTAGAGACCGCACTGAGAATAAATACAAAGACCAAGAGGAAGAAGAACAATTCGGTTTTCGAACAGGAAGAAGCTGTACTGATAATATCTTCTGCCTCAAACAACTAATAGAAAAAAAATTAAGCACAAATCAAGAAACCCACCTCATGTTTATTGACTTGCAGAAGGCGTACGATACAGTTCCTGTAAACAAACTCTGGAACGTGTTACGACAGACGAATATTAGTGTCACCTTAATAAAAGCCTTAAGAAATTTGAGTATCGAAAGCTTCCTGGATAATAAATGTCTACGTCAGGGGTGTTGTGTATCACCGACCTTGTTTAAAATATATGTTGCAAAAGCATTGAAAGAGTGGAAACGAATTTGCTTGTATACATTGCAGTTTGCTGATGACCAGGTTGTTATAGCAAACGATAAAGATGATCTGGAGTACATGGCAAGGAAATTACAAGAAGAATATAGAAAGTGGGACTAGAAATTAATACAGAAAAAAACAAAATACCTGCCAATATGCCGAACTATCGAACATCACATTAGAAAATAACGAAATCATCATGCCCTGCGACCATTACATATACCTAGGAATCGTTTTTGACACAACGGGGAAAGATGATGAAGAAATAAAGAGAAGAATAACACAATCCAGAAAAACAATAGGTTGTCTAAACAGCGTACTGTGGAGTCATGAAATAGGAAAAAGAAGAAAACACAATATCTACGAATCTCTTATTAAAAGCAGTCTATTGTACGGAGCGGAAACTTGGCGAATAACCGAAAACAACAGAAGAAAACTGGAGGCAGTAGAAATGGACGCTTTTAGAAGATCAGTAGGAGTGTCACGCAGAGAGAGAATACGTAATGATGAGATAAGACAGCGAATGGGGGTTGACGGCTCTCTAACAACAGACATAGAAAGAAAACAGCTGATATGGTACGGACACGTCCAGAGGATGGATAACTCAAGACTCCCAAAAATAATTATGCAATGGGTACCACCAAACCGCAGAAAGAGAGGAAGACCCAAGAAATCTTGGAGAGAGGGAGTAACGAAGGCGATGAGCGCAAGAGATTTTAGAGAGGGCCAATGGAATGATAGAGTGTCATGGCAATTAGACATCGGACAACATCGATTGATATATAACAACCGATTGATATATAATAATAAACATATTTATGGAAAAAATTAGGGAGAGGCAAGACAAAATCAGAAAAAGTAAAGCTTAAAATGGGATAGTTGGCGGGAGTTGGCCGTAAATAAAGAGATAAAACAATGAGAAATAATTTACAATAAAATTTTACGAAAGCAATAAACGAAGCTAGTTTTTTTGGTTAGTGATTTAAATCAGGGTGATATTTGTTTCAATGTTTAGTTAAGTTAGTCTAATGTACTCAAAACATATCTAATAACTAGTAGTCTAGACGGGATCTGTTTTGGATTGGAAATTTTGCATAGGAAGCTATATTTTTGCTGGAATCCCTTCAGGATGGGCCCAATATC